TGAAGACTCAAGGATTATGGCTGACTTCTGAGTTTAAAACAGGTGAATTCTATACCTTCATCTGGAGAAATAAAACAACACTGTCTACAAATTTCTCTGATAGTGGTGATACGGGCTCAAGACAAGGTTGACATAAGGGAAGCCATATTGTAGAAAAGAAAAACCCTATTGTTTGAATTGAACTTTGAATGACCTCTGACAAACTAACCCAGCTGGATATGCACCCTCCAGGACATCTAACTGCTCTGTAGATTTTACGACCCCTGCTTGTGCATGTAGCTCCTAGCTGCGATAAGATGATAACTTCGCTTTTTTGAGTTCCTTAGGAATGTGATGACCCCTGAACAGAGAGTCTATGCTGATAGCCATCATCAGTGAAAAGTGAAAGATCTGGTGTGGCACTCCCAGTCTGTAACACCAGAAGGTCAACATTCCTAACCCCCTCCCCAATAACACAATGGCCTATATAACTGCTGCAAGATTTCATGCCCCCTTAAGATGGTTCTTTTGGACATGAGTCAGCCATCTTCCCTCCTGCTAGCAAGCTGTAATAAAAAAGTCCTTCTTCTCCTACCACCTTGCCTTTTGACTGTTGGCATGTCTTGCGGCGTGCAGAAGGCCCCACGTTGGGCGGTAACAGTGGGAATAGAGTTACACCCAAAATTGCAACCAAAGTGACCTGGGTATAACCTCTGGGAGTCAGAAAAGGAAAAGGCAGAACTGGAACCTTATAATTTAACAAACTCAAATCTAATCACTTGTATCATACGTAATTTGCCTAGAGAAAGACTGCAGGAACTAAGAGAAGGCTGGTTAGCCCAAAATATAGAATACAAAGGCCAAAAGAACCAGAGGTCGGCAGACTCATCAAACACCTGTACAAGGGACGGGACTCTGACCTGTAGATCTGTATCACTGACTGCATCTCACCAAAGCAACCTTCTGATTATAATCTGACTTCTCAGCAGCCTGACTACAAGAATAGGGCATGCCTGAACAATGATGCTTGTATTCCAGTCTGCCTGGTGGTTCTATATTTTATCAGAGTAACAAAGTTGCATTCTGGCTCATACATCAGTGCTTCGTGACTATGAGCAGCATAAACCAGTTTTCTTGGCTCTGATCAACTCTGGGTACCCGACAGAATGAGGTTTCTATTTCAGAAAGACTGAATATCAGACCTGAACCATGGTGACCAAAAAGAGGTAAGGCCACCCTGTGATACCACACAGAGCACAACCCCTTGCCTTTCCTGACAACACCCCATTTGCTGTGCACTTCCATTACACTTAACAGCAACTCCTTCTGGGCATTAAATGCCTCAAACCCATCTTATTGATCATCTGTCTCCCCTGAGACAGAAATGTAAACTCTCTGACAGTGGGATTTTTATCCATTTTATTCACTACTAAATCCTAAGTGCCAAGAACAGTACCTGGCTCACTAAATATTTGATGAATGAATGAATGAAAAAATGGCAAACCACTAAGCCTAACAGTCTTGGCAAGTGAAATTAAATTAAAACTTGTCAAATCAAAAGACTGAAGACAAAGTGACATGTTCAAAGGAACACAGTGAATAACTAGACTAGACAGCAATTCCTTGGGACAAATTACCTGCACAGTGCTTTACAGTTTACCAGCACTTTCCCACATATGCCCTCATGAGATCCTCTCCTTTTTCTAGAAATACTTTCTCTCAGGGAAACCAGAGCCCTCCACTTCAGTGTCCACCTTAAGCACTGTCTCAACTCCTCCCCTGTTCTATCAACACCGAGGCATGCGTTCCTGTGTCATGTAGGACCCTAACACTCAGATCCTAAGGAAGTTCTCAAACTTCTCAATCCCAAGCACGCTAAAGGCATGATATGGCAAACTTCAGTAACATTCCTATAACTGTGAATAGCAGTAGCGGAAGGAAAACAATAACTAACATCTATAACATACTTACGATGCATGCCAGGTACTGTGCTAAACAAGCATTTACGTGGATGACTCCTCAAGATAAGTCAGTGCTAGAGGTACTATTATTCCCTCTTATTTTACAGATGGGAAAGTTCTAACTTGCAACCACACTCGAGGGCAGTATCCCAAGTACTGATACACTTTGAATCAGCATTACAGTTTTTTGTCCTTAAGGAAAAAAACTCCAGACAAAAAAGATACCAACATTCCACACAATGAAACAATTAGGAAAAGAGCAGAGGTTTTAAAATTAACCTACAGATACCTCCTAAGCATCTATAACGCGTGCAGCACCATGCAAAGAAGCAGGCACACGGAAGCAGAAGATACACTCTGTCTTCAGGGGGTGTGTAACAGAGTGGAAAGAAGAGAATCACTAACAGTGAACGCTTTACGGTTTAACAAAACATGTTGTCCCACACGTTCTCTTATCTGAGCCTCACCAATAAGCCCATAAGGACCCATTTCATGAAAGATGAAGAATGTGAGGGTCTGAGGATTTAGGCGACGTGGCAAAGTTCATGGAGTTGGCAGGTGGCAGTGTTACAGTTCAAACATCTATCTTCTATTTCTAAATCAAGCTACACAGGAAAGGAAGAGAGGCCCCAGGGCTATAAGGCAGGAAAGGAAATGACAGCAGGAAAGAAACCAAAGGAGAGATCAGAAAAGAGGAGACCAGGACCGCACACAACATGGAAGCCACAGGAAGACAGACTTCAGGAGGGACTTGATGCTTCTTGCTACAGGTCAAGAACAATTTTAACAAAGGCAAAGCTACCCGAGAAAGGACATTTTTAGCAAAGCATAACTCTATGTTACTATATTCAAGCAGAGATTGTTCAAATTATTTGCAATAAATGAGTTAATACTTCCAAAGTGCTAGTAGTAGTGCCTGGTACACAGTATGCACAACACAAGCATTTGCTAAATAAATAAAACATAACCATTTCTAATACTTATTGATTATATGGTAAGACAAAACTCACATAAAAATGTCAATATGTCAGTTAACTATAATTCTCAACTACCCCATAGAAAGGAAAAAAATCTCTTAACAGAACTTGAACAATGTTTCTCCATTATGAAGAAAGAAAATCAGCATGATTCTGAAGAACTGTGCCTAATGATAAGCAGCAATAAATGTTGGCTATGAGTCTAAGCACTGAACTAATAACTTTATGGTGATTATCTCATTTAATCCTTACTACAACCCTAAGAATGAAATCAGGGGTTTCACTCATTTCGTGGGGCCTGAAGCTTATAAATTTGGAGGCCCTCTTTAAAGAAAAAAAGAATATAAAAATACCATTTACCTTTGTAAAATTTACAAAACCATAGGACCAGGAGAGCACATTGCTAGGGCTCTTCCCAGGGCCTTAGAAGGTACCACTACAAGTGAGCTACCATTAAGTTTAAGCTTCATTAGCTTCATGGTATATCCTTCTCTAGGTGAGATATTAAAAACCCATTTCTCTGAAGAGAAAACTGAGGCATAGAGAAGTGACTCTCTCAAAGCCATAACTATATCCAGACTCATCCCGCCTGATTCTCGCGCTTATTCCTTTATCCATCGTGCTATCTCTCGTGTATAAAACTTTATGAGAAACATCTGCTGTATGCGAATACAGAGGGGCAGAGTGTGTTTATGGTGCATTAGAGACTAGTGATCAGCAGCATTCTGAAGGTGGAGTAGGTGGCTTCAAGACCTGACTGTTCGATGGGCTGGCCCCGTGGCTTAGCAGTTAAGTGCGCACGCTTCGCTGCTGGCGACCCGGGTTTGGATCCCGGGCACGCACCGACGCACCGCTTCTCCGGCCACACCGCGTCCCACATACAGCAACTAGAAAGATGTGCAGCTATGACATACAACTATCTACTGGGGCTTGGGGGGAAAAAATAAATAAATAAAATTATTAAAAAAAAAAAAAAAAAAAGACCTGACTGTTCAAAACAATCCTCATCCTGTAGAGAGCTCATCCTACAGGAAGTATTTGTGGGGAATCCTCATGTCTTGGGGCTCATAACATAGGTAGGATATGAAAGGCCCCGTGTCCAATTGGATCATGTCACTCTACCCGGTTTGAAATAACATCTTTACTGTGCCCCACAAGCCCCCACATCACCTGGCCCTTCCCTGTTTCTTCCATTTCATCTCTCACTACTTTTCCTTTTCTTACTACTTTACAGTCAAATGAGCCTTATTCTCCCTCCTGAATGAGCCAGGCTTGTGTGTGTCAGGGCCTGTGCACTTGTTCTTCTGTCAGCCAGGACATGCTCTTCTCAGATCTTCTCACTGCTGGCTTCTTCAGGTTCCAGTTCAAAGCTACCTCCTTAGAGAAAAGGGTTATTATACCTGACCCTATCTACAGAAGAATGCCCACATCCCCCAACATACATGCTTTATTATCTTCAATTTTTCTCATAAACTTTATCATTATATGAAAATTTTTATGTATTTTACTTGTTTACTTATTACATAACTGTCATAAAGAATAAAAGTTCCGTAAGAACTAAAACCTGTCCTGTTCACAGCTATATCCCCAGTTTCTAGAAGAGTGGCACACAGTAAGTGCTCAATAAATACTTGCTAAAAGAATAAATGGCCTGTCCCTAACTCAGTTCTGAAAATAAATGTAGAACACTCAGTTGGACTGCTCTGCTTGTGGCTACTAATAGCAACGTCCAAGAGCTATCCTTCCACAGGTTCCTCCATTTTACACCCAGGAGGAGAGCTCCCATGTCTCTGCTAGCAGGTAACTTAACCCAATTAAGGAGCAGAATAATCAAGGCCCTCAAAAGTCTAGCCTGTCAATCTACTTGGCACCAATTACAAAGTTAAATTTGTACATTACACTAAAAGGGTATGCTAGTATCTGAAATTTTGACAACTGGAATGTGGAAGAATACATAACTTTATCACTGTCTAAAATATATAACATTGTAATTTACAGTCTCATATATTCAGAATTTAGAAAACATGAGTTTAAATTACATAAGCACTTATTACATGATTAAACATTCAAAAGAAAAACATACCTCCTAAAGCCCCACTGTGATCTAGACTTTTCTTTTTAAAGCCATTAGAGACGATCAAAACAGGAACAACAACAGAAAACAGCCAACGCCAAGGAGAAACAGGCTGCAAGTTACCTGAAAAATTATAAAGGTAGAGCACAAATCATGTAAGGTCTGCACAAGTTAGTTTTGGCTGTAAGCTTTGATAACTGCATTCTGGATTAAAATAGTGTCATAAGTAGAGAAACTGGGATGAAGTCACCAAAGTGAAATATTTGTGTTGAGACTTGTATATTTTCACAGAAACAATCCTACTGGGGAATGATCAAATAAGTCCTGTCCAAGTTTTGAGAACGATTTACAACTACTAATAATAATGGGTATTTCACACATATTTGGAGATTTGAAATGAATCCCTGGTTCCTCATTTTTTTGGAAAGGAGGCACGTATTAAATCTCAACAACTGCACAGAGCAAACTCCTTTCTTAACAGGATCCCATTATTCCTCTCTCTGCCTTTCAGAGAGGTTTTTTTAAAAAAAGTAATCTCACAGGCTACACACCTCAGGATTCAATGATTAGCAACTGATTTTTCCAAAGGTTGCATCTAGCTCACAGATGTTTTGTTTGGCTGGCATAATGTTTTCAAACAATTTGAGTCAATATTTAAACATCAAGAGATTTCGTATAAAAATCCAGATTCTTGGCTTCTTTTTTAAAAACTGGAAGTTCAGGTCCACATGGCAGAACTGACCCCAGGTGAGGGGCTGCCTCCTTCTGACAGGTCATGGCTTTCCTGTTTAAAGTCCCTGCCATTCCTGAAAGACTCAAGACCAAGGCTGAGTGATTACAGTAAAGTGTGAACTATTGCTTGCACCCACATTTCTATCAAAAACGGGAAAATGAAAGACAAAGAGGGCCAAATGTTCAACAGAAAATGGGAAAATCCTATTTCTGAAAGTGAAAACTATTCCCAAGTGCTTAATATGCAAAGCCCTGGACAGCTTCACTCATTTGCACCAGGTGCTTGGCCCAAGGAGGACACTTCAATTTACAAATCCTGGTTTATTCTATTTAGTTCAAGTCATAGTTAATACTGCCATTAAGGAGACTCTTCTCCTCCCACACGCGTCTTCCCCAAACTCTCATCCCCCACTGTGAATCATTATGAATGAACAGCCCCAAAAGCTTCTGCACCCTGGAGAACACCTATCCAATTATTCACATGTCTCTTTCCAAAAGGACTCAAGTCTGAAAAGGCAATCACTTCTGATATAACCATTTATAAGAGTCCACTTTCTCACTCCACTTTTCACTTTTTCCTCTTAACTGAACTGTATGCTGTTTTTATGGGGTCCCAAAGAAGTTTCTGAAAAGGCATACTGATGCTCTTAAGGCAGCTTCAAAACCTTAAAGATTTGAGTCCAGATTATATTTATGTAAAGTGGCTTCAGACTTTAAAGGGAATTTGTTCTTTTGAAGTGATCAAACAGCAGACAAATCCTCCAAGTCTCCCAATGTAAACATCATACCATCTTTTATTTTTACAGGACACATGAAACTGATCAACTACGTTACTAATATTCTTATTAATATTCTCATTCTTCACTGGAATGGCTTTACAAAACTGTTTCACTGATTTCTCACCAAGACAGATGTAATCAATTTTGAAATAGGTATAACTAGTATTTTCACAAGCAGCATTTATTAAAGGCTTTAAAACGTTTACGGTACTGTTCATATTTTCATGTCAGTAAATTAAATTCGGGCTGTGGAAGTTCAGTTCATAACCACTCAGAGATGCAAGTTTTTGACTTCACAGTGGCATACTTTTAAATTCCACCGGTCAAATTATAGGAAAACAAGTTAGAACATTCCCACTTACCATAATAGGTGCTTGCAGTCATAGACATAACCCAGAAAGCCAAAGAAATGCAGATGACCAGGCTCAGAACGACTATATTGGCGATCATCTTCATATACTCTTCGCACGTGCTGCCGTCAGGATCTGTCATGGAAATGAGGATACGAGCGTCTGCGGAAAACACCTACAGCATTTCTGAGAAAAAGCGTCACTGAAGTCGCCAGCAAAACCCGCCTTCACACGCGAACACAAGTGCCAACATCTTCACCGACCGAGAGAACACACCGGCTCGGGCTCCGGAGACGCGCCGCCGCGCGGCTCGACCCGCGGGCGGGACGGGGAAGCGCAGGCGGCCACGCGGGGACAGCGCCCGAGTCCAGACCCGGAGTCCAAGGCCAGACCACAAGACCTCAGCGCAGCACGCCCCGCGTCTCCGCCCGCCTGCGCCGCCCGCAGCCCAGACCCAGTCCAGGCCGGTCGCCCCGAGCGCAGCCCCTCCCGCACGCATGCGCCGCGCGGAGTCCGGGCCCAGTCCCGGCCCGTCGACCCGAGCGCAGCCCCTCCCACGCGCATGCGCTGCGCCGAGTCCAGGCCCAGTCCGGGCCGGTCGCCCCGAGCGCAGCTCCTCCCGCGCGCATGCGTCGCGCCGAGTCCACGCCCTGTCCGGGCCCGTCGCCCCGAGCGGAGCCCCTCCGGCGCGCATGCGCCCGGCCGCACAAAGCCGCCGGCTCTCTGTGGTGAGCGTCTCCATAGCGGCCTGCTGGGAGATCTTTGGCTTCGCTTGTGAGGACGCCCCCGGACGCGGGGGGTGAGACCGCCGCAGGGTAGTGATGGATACAGGCTGCGCGCGAGTGTGGTACGCGAGCGAACGCCTCTCCGCTGTGAGGCAGGGCCGTGTCGTGTTGTGGAGACGGAGTTCTGGCTGAGAGCCACTCACAGCGACGCCGCCGTCTGTCGCCTCTTGTGCTGGACACTCGGCTGCCGGGCTGCGGACGAAGCCGGACAGCCGCTCTCGGCGGCCGCCGGGAGCCGGTCTGCGGCGGGTCCGCGCTCCGTCGGAGGCCGACGTGTTGGCCCTCTCCCGGGCACTGACCGGCCTCGCCTTGTCGGGGACCTGTCGGGGATGCCGGCGCTGGACACGGAGCCCACGTGTGACCCGTCCGGGTCGTGCTTTGTAAAACGCGCACTGTTTGAACTTGCGGAACGCGGGCCGGGCGGGCTCCGCGCTCTCCGCCGGCCGGCGTCTAGTTAACAGCGCCGAGGGCTTGCGGGGGCCTCGGCGGCCTCTGACTGGACTGGCGCGCGTGCCCGCTCTGTCCAGTCCGCCCGCTCCGGCGGACACTGGGCTCCCTCAGAGAGCTGCCCGGCGGTGTCGGCGACCGGACAGCGGGGCCGAGTGAGCCGGTATCTGCGGTCTGCACAGACCCCGTTTTGCCTCTGCGTGGACAGGAGCATGAGCGGTCCAGGGCGGCCCTGTCCGGTCCGGGGGTTCTCGGGACTGCCGGGTCTCCGCTGTGGGGCCGGTTCCCGACGTCAGGGGTCGTTCCCTCTCTCACGACCGTCTGGCTGTAGGAGCATATTAAACAACACTGTTGGTGACTGACCCTCCAAATGAATATTCCTCTTCCATTTTTTCCCAGTGTCCAGTGACTTCTGTTGTTCTCCATAGAAGTTATTCTCGCTGAAGGTTGAAACAGTTTAGGGGTATTAATGTAGTTAAAATATACTTAGTCTTTAAAATAAAAACGATTTTACAGTCCGATAATATTTATGGACATTGACAGTCTTAAAAAATTTAAACACCAGCTGGCCCCGTGGCATAGCCGTGGCGAAGCTCCACTTCGGTGGCCCAGGGTCCACCGGTTCTGACCACGAGCGTGGACCTACTCACTGCTCATCAGGCCATGCTGAGACGGTGTCCCATATAGGGCAACCAGGAGGATGTACAACTATGACATGCAGCTATCTACTGGGGCTTTGGGGAGGGGAAAAAAAAAAAGGAGAAAGATTGGCTACAGATGTTAGATCAGGGCCAATCTTCCTCAAAAAAAAAAATTAACAGTCTATTTACTTTAAAAGCCATTTTCTAACTACAGGGAATTTCTGGTTAAGCCATTTCCTGAACTATATTACTGAAGATATTAGTAAGTATGCTAACCTCCAACACACTCCTCCTCTAAAATACCTCTGATCAAATTTACAGTTGAGAAAGTCTGTATCCTCAGAGACTGAGAGTGCACTAGTAAAAGGCTCTGAGAAGTTAAGAAACTTGAATACCTTTGTTTAAATCTTTCCAAGAGTTAATTGTTTTACCACAGATGCCTTTCCCTCAAAAAACCTGACAGTTTGAGAATTTCTATAGTAAGCAGAGAAACAGACTGAAAGTTCATTGTTGGACTAATCTTTAAATTTCACAATATAAATACCTATTTCTGTTTAAGTGTCCTTTAATGTAAACAAGTTTGGATTTTTCTGGGATAGACATTTGGCACTTAACACCAATTGTAAAAATCATCCCAATGGCAAAAAGCACTTAATGTTGCTAGTAAAATATCAGGGGATTATATGTACAGTCCCTTTGAATTTAAGCCAAAGGAGTGGTCTAGATTTTCTGAAATCTGCTAAAATTTGAATGCCTAATATATACATGTCAGACCCCTGAGGCCCAAAAAGAAAAAAACACACACTTAACTGCCTCGAAGGAACATAGAGGATGAAAATAGATATGTAGACAATTACATTATGACGACTCCAAGTTACGTGTAAAGCAGGACTCAAGGAGAAAAGCACTATGTCACTTTGGTATGTTAAGGGAAAGTGTCACAGAGAGACTAAGACTTGAAAGATGACAAGGAGTTTGCTAACTGACCAAGCTAAGGGAAGGGCGATTTGCAAAAGTCTGGTGGTTAAGAAGGGCATGAAAATAGGAAGTTCAAGAGAATGCAGAAGAATTAGAGATAACAAGGTTTGAAATAGTAGCTAAAGAATTAAACTGAGGGGCCTGCCCAGTGGTGCAAGCAGTTAAGAGCGCGCGCTCTGCTGCGGCGGCCCGGGGTTTGCAGGTTCAGATCCCGGGCGCACACCGACGCACTGCTTGTTAGGCCATGCTGTGGCGGCGTCCCATATAAAGTAGAGGAAGATAGGCATGGATATTAGCCCAGGGCCAGTCCGCCTCAGTAAAAAAAAGAGGAGGATTGGCATCAGATGTTAGCTCAGGGCTGGTTTTCCTCACCAAAAAAAAAAAAAAAAAAAAATTAAAATTCATCTCAGAGATGGGCACATATTTGCTTTCTTGACATTAACTCCTCCTACCCCCGCAAAGTTTTTTTAAACTTTTGGAGCACAAATTTTAAAAGCCTAGGCAGCAATCTGAAGACTGATATGTTGTATTAGATTCAACTCACTCTAAACAGGCATTAGGGGGGCCGGCCCCCATGGCTTAGCGGTTAAGTGCGTGTGCTCTGCTGCTGGCAGCCTGGGTTTGGATCCCGGGCGCACACTGAGGCACCACTTCTCCGGCCATGCTGAGGCCACGTCCCACGTACAGCAACCAGAAGGATGTGCATCTATGACATACAACTACCTACTGGGGCTTTGGGGGAAAAAAATAAATAGATTTAAAAAATTATTTAAAAAAAAAAGGCATTAGGGACAGGCTGGGAGCAGTGAGGGCAGGAATAAATAAATGTAGTGTTTTTTTCCCACTAGCCTTGAGGACAGGGACCATGCCTATCTGGTTCACCCTAGTTTGCTCTAAAGTATTAAAAAAATATTTTAGGCCGGCCCCGTGGCACAAGCAGTTAAGTGCGTATGCTCCGCTTCAGCGGCCCAGGGTTTGCAGGTTCAGATCCCGGGCGCGCACCGAAGCACCGCTTGTCAAGCCATGCTGTGGTGGTGTCCCATATAAAGTGGAGGAAGATGGGCACGGATGTTAGCTCAGGGCTAATCTTCCTCTCCAAAAAAAAAAAAAAAAACCCCACAATATTTTAATAAGAAAAATTTTTAAATAATCTTTTTTCATTATTAAAATAATGCTTTGATAATCATATCTACAAATAAATCTTTATATGAGTCTCAAATTATTGTCAGGATAGACAATTTTTATAGGCCTTGATATATCTGGTTTAGATTACATAAACAGTGTTTAAAACAGTGCAAGTAAACTAATGTATGTTTAGATATAACTTGAGCCACAAAAATGAAAATGATAATTCTTCCAGGCTTTACATATCTTTATTTTGTTTACAGTTTGCTTCAATTTAGGGAGAGGGACTTCTACAAAAGTATTTTAGGGGAAGGACTCCTTTGTTTACATTTTTTGGAAATAACAGGCATGACAATAATTTCCTTGGGGAAAAGTTTTTAATATCAACATACTCAGAATACATTTTTTGTTAATACAATATGATATTGTTTAATATACATTATAAAATCATTAATTTAAAAAAGTTTCCAACTGTCTAAATACCAAAAGAATCCCATATTGTGGCATAAAGATGAACCGTTTCTATATTACACCAAAATTAAAATTTGCCCGTAATGCTAACATTGAGAAATGAGATCAAATACAAGCATTATAAAGTCTACCTGGAAGAGATCAACAATGACTTCAAAGCTACCTTTACTGTATACACATATAAAATTTTTTTAGTTTTTTTGAGATACACGATTTGTTATTTTAATAATATGATTCATATATTTAACAGAGAGTTATAATGTGGAGGGCAGAGGATTTGGAGCCCACAGACCAATGTTCAATCTAGAACTTTCTAGGTTATTGGCATTTCTATACCTTGTGCCAGTTGGCACACAGTAAATGTCTGAATGAATAAATTACCTTAACAAGGATGTCTTCATCTGTAAATTGGAGATAGTACCATATACCACACAGAGTATTTGTGAAGAACGAGTAAGAGAACTAATGGGTGCTATAGTGCTTTGTTAACTTTACAACTCCGAGTTAAGTTATTTTTAAAAATCTCTGTTAGTAGAGTTTGTTATTTTATAAAAATATCAAACTGCAATATTTGGCTTTGATGTAGTATTTTGTTATGTTTTCCTTTTAACAAAGATACCATTAACAACAAATTTGTTCAGTGTTCATTTTAAAGAGAAAAAATGTCTTACAAGTCATTAAAAACACTATGTAATTCAGGTCAACACCAATGTCCTACTTCATTTGGTTAACTCATTATAAGAAGAAATCTGTTTTGTTTCAAAAGAAAAGTATTTTATTATAAAAAAGGTCTCAAGTTTATATGTTCTCATTAAATTTCAATTCAACAGCATTCACCAAAGCCCTTCACACACATTTCTTTTATAGCATTTATCATATTGTATTATAAATAATATTTGTTTTTCTCAGGAGACTGTGAGCAACTTAAGGGCAGAAAATCATGTCATATTCATTTTTATATCAAGTTCCTAGCCTTTGGCTGATTCTTTGTAGAGGTTAGTGCCTCACAGACATTGAATGAATGACAGAGAGAATGAAAGAAGAGAGGATGTGTGTAGCAGAGAACAAAGAGCTGTTATAACTTTGTTTTATGGTATATGGTCAAAGTGATAAGAAGTTTATCAACAAACTGAAAACAGGATTTTAAAAGATTCTTTTTAGGTTTCTTTCTATGAATCAAAGTAGTTTTAAGGTAGACAGGTGTAGGTTAATAAAACAATTTGATGGAGGGAAAGGTTGAAGCATGTTGTTAGGACAGTAACAAAAATGATACGGAGAAAACAGCAAAAAGGTTTACTTTAAAATTACTGAGTGGTAGTTTATTCAGTGGTCTAAAATAATAATGTATGAAGACTAGCTAACTTTGCCAATACCTTGCTGTATTTTAGAATGTTTTATTTTTGTGATTTTTAAAGTGTTATATTAAGATATCAAGACATTAGGGCCGGCCCCATGGTGTAGCGGTTGAGTGTGCGCACTCTGCTGCTGGTGGCCCAGGTTTGGATCCCGGGTGTGCGCCGACGCACCACTTGTCAGGCCATGCTGTGGTGGCCTCGCACATAAGGTGGAGGAAGATGGGCACGGATGTTAGCTCAGGGCCAGTCTTCTTCAGCAAAAAGAGGAGGATTGGTATGGATGTTAGCTCAGCGCTGAGCTTCCTCACATATACACAAAAAAGATATCAAGATATTATTGTAGATGGGAACCAGCCTGCATTAATTAGTGTTTTGTTTTGTATTAGAGAGGGGTGGTGAACCACATTAGAGTTTATACTTGGAAAAACATAGTTTACATTTAAATGATTATTTGCCCAACGTATTTTGACATATAAGGTAGATACGGTTAGTGTTTGCTGATGATTATATATTAGCGAAAAGATACTTGAAAGCATTAGAAAAAAAAATGTAATGACAATTCCAAGAAGCTACATCTAATATTTAAGATAAAGATAAAATGACTAACAAGGTTTACAATAAACACAAAAGGGTTTTCATAAATATTTGTTCTAAGTGCCTGATGATAACTAAAAGAGATTTTTCCTACCTTTGCTTTTGTGAATCTAGCTGCTTGGAAGGCATTCCTTATTAAAAGAAAGGGTGCTAATACTGTAAAAAGACTGTTGCTAGGATACAAGCAAATGGCATAAAAAAATTTTTTTAAGTTTTTTTATCATCAAATAGCCGTTACGTTATAGTAAAGATTTATATGATCAGGTCTACGCTACTTTCCTATGGCAGTGTCAGAAGCTCGAATCAGGACCGAATAACTTGATTACACATTAATAAATATTTTACATGATTTGACCAAAGCTGTTTGAAGGAAAGGGTTCTTATTAAACTTGATCTGGTAAAATAAGGCAAACCCTTCAATTGTTCAAGTGGCAACTATTAGAGTACTTCTGATATTCTATTTGTAAATTAATTAGCATGTGCATAGCTTTATCACAGACACATGTATTTTCAGAGAACTGTTTCTCATTCCCTTAGGCACTATGGTTGCCGTATTTGACTGTCACAGAAAAAGGAGATAAAAAACAAGCTAATGTATAAGATAAACTAATTCCATTTTAAGTTACAAGTTATGAAGATATAATATGGTAAGTACTTTTCTATGATTAAATTCTACTGTGGATTTATTAAAAAAAAAAAAAGCTTAAGGGTTTTGGTATCAACACACATGGGGGTAGAGCGACTATTCCTAACATGGAACATAAGGAACTTTGTAGCATATTAATTTGCTTATTAATGTATCAATTTTGAAAGTGGAAATGTAATATTTTTATTATGAGAAAAATAGTAGTATATATTTATCTTTTTGTTTAAGTAAAAGCTAGATGCCAATCTCTGAATAATTTCACAACATACTTTCTTAGGAGGTGAATATAATCCCTACCAGTTTTTACTAGTCTTAAGGTACCTGAGGCCTTATCTAGCTTGGATGACTCAAGGGTACATCACATTCAAAATCAGTATTTCAAAATACTTTACAATCTATTTTAAAAGCTAATATTCTTATGAAGGAGGCCATGATTAGCTCCCTTTTCTGGTAAAAAGACACAGAAAGTTTAAATAAAAGAACTTGCCCTGTACCTCAGGTTTTTTTCTATAAATGTTCCAAATCACAGTGCCAATAATAATACAAACCTCAGCAGTTTTAAAGTCATATTTAATGTTGGTTAACTCCTACTTACCATCTTATTTAGAAAGTAATATCCCAACTTTGGTAGAGGAAAAAAATTTTCTTCTAATATAAATAAAACACATTAGTTGTCATAGAGTGTTCTTTAAAAGTAGTTTTAAAAGACAAAAACACAAAACACCTTGCAAATATACAATTTACTAGGAAAATTTTTAGGTACGTAATTCTCATGTAAGGCACTTCCATTCTTTTTCAAATAAAAGTTTCATGGAAAGTTTTCCATATTTTTTGTAATCAAGTCTTCATAAATTATACAGTAGTAATGTTACTTCAAGTAAAACTTGATTAAATACCCACTTTTGGCATAATTTCCTTAAATATCTTTACCTTTGAATAGAATGAAAGGTGGGCATCAAGTTCTATGCAGGGTAATCATAAATGAAGGTACTCTTGGTCTATTTTAGATTTAGAGAATTGGTAACGTTTTACCTTGTTGATCTTGTTCAAGTATCTTGAAGTCTTCCAAAGGAAGACTGCTTAAGGCAGTTGGTAAAATGTGTTCTGATGTGCCCTTGGGTAATATGTTATTTGCTTCTAGATTCTTCACCAAGCATGTGGCTTTCATCCATCTTCGAGTTGCTCTGCGCTCTTTTTGTAGGCAAGTTTTCATTTTCCTTCTTAAGCTTGCTATTTCTTTTTCCAGTTTAATTATCCTCTTTTTTGCCTCCATAGGATTCCTAAAGGCATAACTGTGTTCAAGTAGTACTTGCTGACTACTAATGTTGGATTTTAAATTAGATGGTCCGGTTGGGGTACAAGTGTTGTTTTTCTTCAAAAGATTCCTTGACTTCAGTTTCTGAGCCGAATAAAATTAGAGGGTTGAACATAAAATATGGAATATCACAAATAAGTAAATTTTGTCCAGTTTTGGATAACAGTATTTAAACTGCTCTTTTAAAAACTGATTTTAAATTTTGATAGGAAACATCAGCAGCCTATCTCATGTAATCACGGATTCAGGTTTCTCAACTGGTTGGATTAACTCCAGCCACCTATTTCTTTTTGTGTTCCCTCTCCAGAGAGATACAAACATTGGTTTGAAAATAGACAATGGACTTCCAAGGTCTCTTCTGAATTACTGAGTATGATTCTATGGAGACTTAAATAATCCTTTGCAATTTTCTAAGGCCAATATGGAATGTATTTAGACATTTGGTTTATGTGTGGTACTGATCTGATCACTTTTTTAGGTAAATAGTATTCTCTTATTTTGATTAATTAAGTAGGACCTGGGGTCCTACTTAATGAAAACACATTCCCACGTATCAAAATGCTCCTGAATAGATTTACTTATTAACTGTTCACAGTTATAGCTTACATTCAATGATTTAAAATCTGGCTAGGAACTTTTTCCCCAAATCAGAAACCCGAGGACCCTTTTTTCCCTTTATCTCTTTCATTCAATTAGTCATCAAGTCCTATTAATTCTACCTCCTAAATATCTCTATCATGAATCCTCTCCTCTCCATTATTCTTGATGCCACTGCCCACATCAGGCCCCTATCATAGCTGGCTTGAAATAGTAAAAACTTTTTTATAGATCTCTGCCTCATTCTGATCCTTACTAATCCATATTATGCCACCAGAATAGTTTTTCTAACATATTTGATGTTTCTCTACTGGCTAAATTCCTCTTTGCCTCCCCATTATCTAAAGAAAAAAAAATCTGTACATGGCATATTGTACCATTTAGGATCTCATCCCATTCTGTCATTCACCATCCTGATTTATTCTCCAGCAATACTAAACCACTTATAGTTCCCAGATTATATCATAACCTCTTAACTCGGTCTTTCATTCATTCAACAAACATTTATTGAAACACACAGCAATTAACATGAATTCCTGGGGACACAACGGTGAACAAATAAGACAGATATGGTTTCTGTCCTCATGAAACCTATAAGTGGTAGTCCCTCTACCTAGGGGAATTGGCAGGGACTCTTTTTTTTTGATCTTTATATCCTCAGCATCTAACTCAGATTCTAACATAAAGTTTAGTAAATATTTGTTGAATGAATAAATGATCAAAATGTCAAAAATAAGGTATACTTCAAATTCAATAAATATCTGAATGTGTACTATGTACCAGGTACTATTTGAGGTGCTGAGGATTCAGAAGTGAAAAAGACAAAGTTCTTGCCCTCTGGGAGCTTTTCTAATATCTCTGATAATTAGTTTACCACAATCTCCTTCCCGTTCAGATATTAACTCATGTACATTCACACATTTAACTGTCACAATGACTCAAGAAAAGCAGTGGTTTTTCCTTTCAGAGGAAAAGATATCTGTCCTTTTCAAAGCTACACTCTATTTTTGTTCATTCTACCCCCTCTTACCTTTCGGTGACCCTGTCTCAGCTAGCTTTTTCCTCTCTGATCAGATCTTCCTTAACTAGATAAAACATTGTTTTAAGACATTCATCCTGTACCTTCTCTCCTTCCTTTGAAATATCACTTGCTAATATCTGATTATTTTCCACTCACCCTCAACTCCCTGGCTTTTGTGTTCATCATGCTATTGCAGGGTGCAAGGTCAAGATCCTCTCCTAACTTTCAAACTCCAAGCTCAAGCCCAGCCTAAATGCTTGAGCTCTGTGAAGTTTTCCACTATGCCTCCCTCTGGACTTACATTCTTCAGTATAACTCCGGTATTCTTTGGGTGTGCTGCTCTTAAAGCACTCAGCACACATTTTGTATATCATCTTAAAACCAGAGCAGAGTTATGCTGGAGGTTTCATTACTCATGATTTCTCAGTTTTACCATTGATTCAATTATTAATAATAATTGGCAGTAATGTAAAATTCCAATACAGTAAAACAATTTGGATTGGGGAAAGAATATTGGAGTCAGAACTGAGCTCTAATTTTAGCTTGCACCTTTACGGCACGAGAAGAAGTTTTGCAACTTTCTTGAGGCATATCATTATGTATGAATTTCAGTATGTTCTGAATTGTTCCATTTTATAAACAAAAAGGAATGGGTTCTAAAAACGGTAAAAATGGGGTAAAAGAAAAGTAACATTACCTACCATAGACTTTATATGGGTACAAAAATCAAAAATGGTTGGAACAGCATCCATTTTAAGTCGTCGAGTTTGTCCTGTTAGGTCAAAACAGGAGGCTTCAAAGTGCTTTGAACAAAGAAAAGTGTGTTTTCCTGGCACAAAATTTTTGCGCCTAACCAGGCGAACCCATTCTTTTCTTCTTTTAGGATCCAAAGGAAACCTTAAAAAAAAAAAAGGCAACTCAAATTCCAACTATCACACTTCTGGTTGCACCTAAATGGTTAAAATAAATTTTAAAAGCTGATGATTTAAAGTGTCTTCCATTTACACAAAAAATTTTAAATTCCCAATATCCAGACACTGGAATAGAAACCAATTCATGCTCATTTTTATAAGTTGTAAAAAAATTAATAAAAAACTGACTTGAATGGTTTTATTTTTCAGGGTTTTACAAAGAGAACTTTCTTCCCAACCTAGTCCTTAACATGGGCAGTAAAAATAAACAAGACTAAACTGATCTAGATCAAGTTTATATGGAACCATTATGCATTATGAGCAGGAGTAATTTCACAATGTTTTTTGTTTTTTTCTCCCCAGGGAAATATTTGCCCTGAGCTAACATCTGTTGCCAATCGTCCTCTTCTTTTTTTTTTCCTTTTACCCCAAAGCCCCAGTGCATGGTTGTATATCCTAGTTGTAAGTCCTTCTAGTTCCTCCATGTGAGCCGCCACCACAGCATGGCTACTGATAGACAGGTGGTGTGGTTCAGTGACTGGGAAATGAATCTGGCGCCGCCACAGCGGTGAGAGCACAGACCTTTAACCACTAGGCTATAAGGGCTGGCTCAATTTCACAATGTTTTAATCTGCTGATGTACATGGTCAAGACAAATCAGATATCTACAGATTAAATCTCATCAAGGAAAGCCTAGACAGATTCTGGTACTCCATCCTCTGTGTTCCTTCATTATGATGCTCACCACATGCTTTTGTAATTTTTCCATATTAATAAATTTCCAGTGAAATAAAAGTAGATTATACATTTCTTGAAGAAAGGGATCATTAAATCTTTTCATCTATTTATCTTTAACACTTAGCACAGTGCCTTGCAAATAGTAGGGACTCAACATAAATTTGACTAATACAGAATATATAAATTAATAATTCACTGTATTACTTCCATGTAGTTAAACTGCATACATTTTTTAAAAATGAACTCTTAAGCTATGTAGTACAGTAGAAAGCATAATTATTACAAAAAGTAAAATGCTGCTGCCAAGCCCAGCAGGAATGTTTTTCCTTTCATATTTATTTCAAATACAAAATATACTGATATGTACTCAGTGTTTACCTGTCGAGGAAGAGAAAAATATAAGGGACTGTCTAAAAATTCTGGTGGTAACTGTACTGACTGACTTGGAAACATAAGAATCAACATTCACATGTAATAAGTTTGAGTTGAACTATTCTTTAGTTTGACCACCTTATCCTTTAAGTATTAATTATAAACTGACTAGTGTTTTAAAAGAACCATTAAATTCATGTTAGATGATCATGTGGCTCAGAAGCCCCCAACTGAAGCTTTACTAGGTAACAGCTGGGGGCTTCTGACATAGTTTGGTTATACCAGATATACTATGTTTGCTCACATTACCAGCAGTGAGGAGCACAAAGAGATGAAAGCCCAGATTTACTGGTAAACACCCTCCCATCTCCTGTCCCTATCCCTCTAATCCCACACATACCCTGATCTGAGTATATTAACATCTGTATATCACTCTACAGTTCAAATGCTTTCACATATGTAAGTTTTTTCTATTTCATTAGAAACCTCTGATGGAGAATTTATCTACTCTGCCTAGCCCTCACCTCTTAATAATAATGGATGCTCATTTTAAAGATCTCTGTTCCAATATTTGGTGATTTGGAAATGCTCCCCGAGGCCTAAGCTAAAAATCAAGCTTTAGTTTACAAGCACATTTCTTCTTGGGGCCTCAATAAAGACTCAGAAAAAATAAGTACTATCATTGTATTATCATTTGTTTAAGACTCTTCAGGGGCTGACCTGTGGCCTGGGTTCAGTTCTGGGGCACGGACCTATACCACTTGTTGACGGCCATGCTGTGGTCGCAACCCACATACAAAATAGAGGAAGACTGGCATAGATGTTAGCTCAGGGAAGATCTTCCTCAAGCGAAAAGAGGAGGATGGGTAACAGACGTTAGCTCAGGGCGAATCTTCCTCACCAAAGGAAAAAAAAAGACTCTTCAGATATATGAAGACTGTCAGGTATTAGTTTTCAACATTTTTTTTTTTTTTTACCTCTTTTAAACTAGCTCCCTAATTATGAAACCAATGCATCAAATTGAACCTTAATTTGACCAAATTCTACTTCCTTTTTTTTAAGACTCAGTTTAGGAATCTCATCTTCCTATGGAAGTATTTCATGATCAGAAGACTGGGTTAGATGTTCATATATCATATAGAACTAACATCACTCTTTTCTAATTGCTTACCTTCATATCTCCACCACTAGGTCATTAAGTTTCTCCTGCTTAGGAGCTATGTTTTTCACTATTTTATCCTGTTAAATAAACACTCAGTGAACTTTTCTGAGTGATTCAATGAATGAACTAATGGATTTAGTTTGGCATTACTAAATAATCTTTAGTTATCTGTGCTGAAATAGAAGAATAATAATAATCAACGATTTTATATTTGATTTTGGTGATTTTTTATACAGCATTAACCTTAATCACGTTTTGCATGTGTTGGTTGGCTTTTTCTCAGCATATTTCAAAGGGTGAGAGATGTAGCCTATAAGCTGAATTTAAGTAATAATAAATCATCCTGTAAATATTAAAAAATCAACATGGTGATAAGAGATGGATATATTTTTGTCTACACAGTAATTGAACCAAGCTTTCAGAAACATTAGATGTTTTGGAAAACCACTCAGTATTTTAAACAATGCTATTTTGCTTGGGTCTTTAATAAACAGCTGAATGCCTCTTCCATTCCAAGCACTGTCCTAGGCACTGAAGACATAGTGGTAAACAAAACTGACCTACCTTTATGGTATCTATATCTCTGAGGGTATACTGTAATGGGGAAGGTAGAGAAGGTAGCTTGACGCAGTAGAAAAGAGTGGCTGAGAGCATTCTCTCTGGAGTCAAACCAGAGGCCCAATCCTGGCTCCTTCACATAATAGCTGGGTGACTTTAGGCAGTTATTTAACCTCTTTAGGCCTCAGTTTTATGGTACCTAGTGTGGATCTAGGGATTATATAAGACAATGTAAGTGCTCAGCCCAGTGCACAACACGTGGTAAATACTAAATAAATGCTATTTATTATTATTACAAAAGTAATTACAAGTGTCATCAGTGTTATAAAAGGGCAAGTACAGGGTTGCATGGAACCATAAAACAGGAAGAGCTCATCTAGTCAGGAGGCCTTAAGAGAGCAGGAATTAGCTAGAGAAATTAGGGTAAGAGTAGTGAAGAGTATTGAGTATCTTGGGGACAAGGAAGAGTGTTAGGACATGACATGATGCTGGAGAGCCTTCTAAGTTAAAGAGTAATTTTAAACTTTATCCAAAATGGCATACCAACGGCATTAAGCCATTAAAAGGCCTAATTTAGAGAGCTGATTGTTAACAGAAAATGTTTTCACCAGTTTTTAAACATAGCCATTATTAAATTATGTAAATTTGCAGTTAAATAAATTAAAAACAAAGGTAATAAATGCTAAAAACCTATCACTTCCTAATTATTTTACTATTATTTATGTCTGTTATATCTGTATGGTATAAATGCTATAAAATAGTGTGGTATTGCACATTTCTTCCCAACTCCATGATCAGTGATATCGTGTTGGTAGTTTTAAATCAGACATGGTAGGAGTATTTATATCATGGACCTTGAGCAAACACTACAAATCAGGGCTTTTCCCCTTCCCTGGAGATCCTGTTGTTAAACATTTAGCACACCATTGATTATAGAAGAGCAGTTAGGAGTGCATGAATGGCAGCAGTGAACCAGCTAAGAGGCTGCTGTAATAATCCAATTAAGAGGGAATGGTGAGAAGTCAAGGGAGGATGACCTCCCCGTTTCTGAGTAGATGGTGTTTCCATTTACTGTACTGAGAAAGGGAATATAATACGGGCAGTGGTGTAGGTTTGGGGAAAGGGCAAGTTCATTAGTACAGTTTTGATATGTTGAATCTGAGGGAAGTACTGAGACACTTGGCCTATAGGTATGGAACTCATTGGAGAGATTTGGACTGGAAATATTGATTTGGGAGGCACCAAGTAAATGTAAACTGAGAGCACAAGAACAGCTGAAATCAATTTGGTAAGAGTGGGAAGACGTAGGTTACTGGGAGGAGAGAGGGGCTGGCACAAGAGATTTAAGATAGGCCCAAAAAGTAAGATGGAAATAACAAAATTAGTGTCAAATAATTCAGCAGTAGGGAGTATTTCAAGGAGGAAATGATCACATGCCATGAAAAAGCAATGTAGGAGTGACAACTCATCAAAAGCAGTTTCAGAAGATTTGGGGAGACATAGACTAGAGTGGCCTAAGAGATAAGAAAAACAGAGCCAGTAAGTTTAGGCAATATAAGTTGTACATGGGAATAAAGAAGTCTACCAATGTCTTGGGGGGGAGTTAGTTAATTAAATATTGTTTATATTTATGAAATAGGAAAGTATTTTTATTATAATGTTATTTTTAAGACCTAAATTTCTGGGGTCACACATGAAAATGTTAATTTCATAGCAGGCAAATGGTCCAATATGGAAAGGAGGTATGCATGTTATTGTACCACTGTCCTTCTCTTATTAAACATTCAATATTACTGGTGCCTTGACTCCTTCCTCTCCCTCATCTTCCAAATCAGGTTACCAGATACAGTAGTTCCTCCTCAAACATTTCTCAAATCTGTCCACCTCTTTCCATCCCTGTTGTCAGCACCTCTCCAGACTGGGCCACACTAGATGGACTCTCCCTTGTTTTACTACAGGTGCCCAACTGTTTTCTCTATCAACTCTCAACCTCTTCTAATCTAGTGCTGGTTGTGCCAGCAACGAAGGACATTGTTCAGTTCACAGTTGACACTGTAGCAGGATTTCCCTGTGAAAAAGCAGTAGGTAAATTAGCATTCTGTAATAAGCTCCCTTCTCATCAAATACATCTCTTGATGATGCTTGACCAGCACTATAAGTAACACTATAATTCTCCACATTGCAGCCAGAGGGATTTTTAATATGCAAATCTAATCATCCTTTTTAAACCCTCCATGACTTCTCAAGCTCTCATTGGGTAAAACAGAAAATCCTTAAAGCAGCCTACAGGACCAAATCTATGTCATCCTTTGGTCTCATTTGAAATTTCACATCCTTTGAGAAGTGTTCTTTGACTTTCCAAGGCTCAGTTAGGTCTCCCTGAAGGTCTCTTCTGTGGTGTAATTATCTATGTCTTCCTTTCTTATTACACTCAACTCCAGGAGGATAAGAATTTTCTGGATCCCTAGCACAATGTCAGGCAAATAAGAACACGGTACACATGTGATGGATGCATGAATAAAGTAGGTGAAAAAGAGAAACATCACAAGGATTTTTTTAAGTGGCAACTTTTAATAAGGGCATACATTTAGTCATAATGAGGTGGGGAAAAGGTCAAGGATATAATTTTCTACATTCTAAGATCGTATTAAGTTGTGAGGTATACAAAACCAGAACTGTTTGCACTTCACTTTTTTAACGCTTCTTTGCTTCAGGCGCATGGCAGGCACTTGCCGAGGAGGTAAACATTTACCGAGTACTTATTATATTTCACGTAGTGTTCAAAGTGCTTTCAAGAGTTCTGATTTGACAGAAGTCAAGAATTTTGATTGCTCTTCCAGCAAACGAAAGAACAACAGAACCTAGGTTCTTTTTATGACTCTGTTCTCGTAAGACTACAAAGCTTATCTTTCGCACTTCTATCAACCTCGCTCAATTCCATGGTTATCAATGATTACTCAGTTCCTCCGCAGAGTTACTGTATGTGACTATCAGAAATCTAAATGCTCCCCCTGTCAGCTCAGCTAGTGAGAATTTCCTAATTTTAACGGGCACACAGCAGGCTCTTAAGGTGACTGCTGACTTGACCGGGAAGATCTCGATTCCTCTCACGGCGTCATTAATGTCAGACCTGGTCTCACACACAGGAGCGAGAGCAGAAAATGAACGTGTCCTCCCGTCGCCTTTCCCTGAAGAGTAACCACCGTACAGAACCCGGGGGCCCCTGACAGAGCGAACTTTCCCGGAGGGAGAGGACACGGGCAGACGCGAGAGGCACACCGGGGGCACCGACGCTGCGCCACCGGCCCGGCGGCGCCCCGCCCCTCCGCGCCCCGCCCGGTACCTGTGGAAGCTGACGTCGACGTGCTTGTCGTAGGTGGCCGCGCAGCCCGCCGCCGCGCAGTTGGTCGGCATCTCCCTGCCCCTCCCTGGCGCCCGTCTCTCGGGCACTGTGGCGGACCGCACCCGCGGGCCCGCCGCTCAGTCGCCGCCCTCCGCCTCCACAAACATGGCGGACACACCCCGCCCCTCCCGGCGCGCCAACGCCTGCGTCTGTGTCGGCCGTCCTCGGAGCAGTCAGCGCGGAGAGCTGTGTCTGCCCTACCCCCGCCCATTAGTGTCAAACTCTCTCGCAGCGGAGACGCAGAGCAGGCCCGCCCACCTCGCCGCGCTCCCAGACACCCCAATCCCGGGCCAGGGGAGAGGGTGTGTGCGCGCGTGCGTGAGCCGTAGACTACAAGTGCCGCTGAGAATCTCGTTGTCCCGATTATTATCGCGTGAACTAGGACCCTGTTTCCTGCGTGCCGCAGGAAGTGACATCACGGGCAGAGCCACTTCCAGAGCCCCTTTCTCGCGAGGCGGAAGAGCCCTGAACGCGGAGGAGCAGGGGGGCGCTAGGGCAGGAAGCTGGGCTGCGACGGTGCGGCGAGAAGGCGCTGCGTGCGGGAAGTTGGGGAGCAGAGCCCGGTAGCTGTCGGGGGGGTGGGGGTGAGGCCGCACCGGCCGCGTCCGTTAGGGAGGCAGGGAGCCGAGGAGGAAGGCCGTCGTCGGGCGGACCCGGCGGAGGCGGAGGCTGTGTGGAGGGCGCCGCTCCGGGATGGCGACCGCGGAGACTCCGGCCCCGGCCTCCAGCGGCCTCTCGCCCAAGGAGGAAGGGGAGCTTGAGGATGGGGAGATCAGCGACGACGACAACAACAGCCAGTGCCGCAGCCGGAGCAGCAGCAGCAGCAGCGGCGCCGGGCTGCTGCCGTACCCGCGACGAAGGCCGCCCCACCCGGCCCGGGGCGGCGGGTCCGGCGGCGGCGGCGGCGGCTCCTCGTCGTCGTCGTGCTCGTCCCAGCAGCCGCCCAGGAGTTTCTCCCGCCCGCGGCACCCGTCGGAGCGGGGCCACCTCAGGGGACACAGCAGCTACCGACCCAAAGAGCCGTTCCGGTCCCACCCGCCCCCCGCGCGGCTGCCCGCGAGCTCGCTGTCCGAGAGCAGCCCGCGGCCGTCCTTCTGGGAGCGCAGCCACCTCGCCCTGGACCGGTTCCGCTTCCGAGGCAGGCCGTACCGCGGCGGCAGCCGCTGGAGTCGGGGGCGCGGCGGGGGCGAGCGAGGCGGCAAGCCGGGGGGCCGAGCCCCGGGAGGCGGCGCGGGGCCTGGATTCGGTGGCAGCCAGGGCTGGCGAGAGCCCTCCCCGGCTCGGAAGAGCTGTATCCTTAACGTGGCGGTCCGCCCTGGGCGTGTCGCTCGCGGAGTCCCTCGGCGTCAGGACTAGGGCTAGAGATGAGTAACTTCCGAACAGCGGAGCCGCTCGTCTGTCACTGTGTCTGCGCTCGAAAGGAGTTGTTCTTGGGTAATCCCCGGGTGTCACGCCGCGGTGTCGTTTCTGAAGATCACTTTATTGGGTATATCGCTTTTCAGCGTTAACGCATTATGGATTGGGGCGAAGCTAGTGGAATCTGATACAGTCTAAAATCAGATCTGTAATAGTATTTCCGAAGCCCCGGTTTCATTAGCATTTGTTATTGTTACGGGAACTTGGTTTTTATGTGAGGTTGACTTAGGCTGTTAGAGGGAGAAAAAAATATAGTCAAACAGTTTGGGGAATATTGTTGCTTATATCATATTGCACTTTGACATTGAAAATTGTGAAGTTTGATGCATAATCCTACTGTTTTTGTGATTCTGTTTTTACTTTTCTCGATTTATTCTTACACTTTGCTGCCTTTTGAAGTGGAAAAGGGGAAAAAAGACCAGGTATCTTCACCAACTCATATTAATGCAGAGCTTTTAAATTCATATATCTTTTCAAAAAACTTTTCCTCCTTAATGTCTCTATTTCTTACGTTCACTTTTTGGATGTTTTATAACTCTTAGTGCTGACAAATGTGGGCCACAGAGAGTAAGATAAACTTAACAGCGTTTTTATTTTAATATATTGGAAGCCATTGGGGTGTATGGGAGGGTGGAGATTATGGAGAAGTTGAGAAAGAAAATAGCAAAATATCTAATTTTGCTCCTCTAACCTTATTCTTAGTTATCTTTAACGTTCCTCAGTTAACTCAGGATATCTGAAGGTTTGCTGTTTTGTGATGGGTTTGTAGAAAGAACTATGTCTTGACTTATTCCATGATAACTGCATAAAAATAGTTCACTAAGCACTTTTATTACTGTTTGTAATTTCCACGGTGTAATGATTTTTTAATATAGTCATTATATGTGAAACTTACATATCATGACATTTGTTTGGAAGATACTCAACATTATTTTTATAGAATACTTAGGGCCAAATGGTCTTTCCCAGATATCAGGATATAAAGGGGGGCAAGAAATGTAGGTTTAGCAGAACCTAAACATCACAACGTATGATGTTGTGAAAAAAGTACAGGAAAGTAGTCCGTCTGATTTCTGTAGTAACTTATCAGAAATGAGCTATCTAGTTGTTTTTCTTTTCACAAATGCTGTACTTAAGAAGAGGATGCTTGTTTTGATCCTCTGCTCATTGTTTTCCTTGCAAAGTATCATTAATCCATCCTAAGGTGGTATTCTTTATTATAAGAGTTTGTGAAGGAAAACAGTTCCCAGCCACTTTTGTATAATGTGAGCAAACAAAATTTGTAATACAAAATTTTATTAATTCAAATTCCTTTAATAACAAGACTGTACTCAGTTTAACTCATGTTTCTGCTATGTGATTATAATAATGACATTATTGTTTTACAAATACTACATTAAGAGAGAATAAGTTATTTTCATAATCTGGAAGTGAAGTAGCATGAGTACAGGTGGTTGGGGTTTTTTTTAACTTTTTTCTCTTTAATGATTAAGGTGTGCTAGATGCAACTTTAAAGGAATAGAACAAACCAGGTTTCTATTGCAGTACTTATTTTTATTCTCATTTTTTAATTTTTCTTAGTGATAGATACTTTGTCAATCAATCTTAGCGTATTATCTCCTTTGGATGACTACTATTATAAACTTCCAAATCTGATAAGAGCTAACATAATTAGACCAGTGTCTCTCATCAATAGAAAGTCATTCCATTTTCAACTGCAGTAAAGGTTGAATAGCAGTTCCTTTTCTTAAATCAGATTTCATTTAGAAATTGCATCTTGACCGGGTTAAAATTAAATGTTAAGTGTTGGTTTCATCCTACCTGTCCTGTATAGACAGAGGTAAGAGATTTCATTTAGCCTTGAAGGAGATTAGTCAGTTTTAGTCATAACTCAATTGCTTTTCCTCATTTTTCTGTTCTTTAGTTAATTTAATTTTTGTTAGTATATTGAATCTTTTCCCATTAGTGTATTGAATCTTTTCCCTTTATAAATGTTTCCAAGGTCTTCAGTTTTATTTGTTTTTAATTACTGTGGTTGTGCCTTTAGCTGCCTTCATTGAATACTGAGATATAAATGCAGGTAATTACAGAATTTATGTGCAGAGAGTACATAATAGTGGAGTGGGGAGAGCAAGTAATTCTCTGGCTTCATGTAGGAGGTTACATTTGAATTAGGGTTAATTTGAAGAACAGAAAAACCTAAATACAAAGCTATGCTTAAATTGTGATGAACAGGGAAAAGGTGAGATTGGAAAGGAAGTACAGGTCATATCATGAAGGCATTATATGCCATCATAAGGATTTTGGACTCTATTCTTAGATTTAAACAAGAGAAGAGATCTGATCAGATTTGTATTCCAGAAGGATTAATCGAGCAGCAGTGTGGGGGATGGCTTGTGGGAGATAGAACTCCAAATGTCTGTCACGAGGCCGTATTTCTCTCTTGTATTACGTAAAATATGGGAGTGCTTTGGAATGCTCAAAATGCAAAGAGAAAAAGGCTAAGTAGAGCTCACTGGAGAGTACCATTATTGCAAGAGTTGGAGAGAAAGGGGTCATGAAGACTTAAAGGAAAAAAAACAGGAAGGGAAACAAGGGGAGAGTGGAGTTATGGAAACCGAGAGAGAGGTGGTTTGCAGTGTCCAGTGCTACAGAGAGGTCAGGTAAAATAAGGTTTGAAAACATGGTGGATCAACTCAGCCAGCAGAAGCCAGATACCATTTGGTTGAAAAGTGAGTAAGACAGGTGATGAAAAACTAATATTTCAAGAAACTTGACTCTGAAAAGGAGAGATCAGAGAACCAAAGATTTACCAGAACCATTTTGCTGCGGAACTGTTAAGATTTTCAGTCGTAATGCTCGTTTAGTTTCTAAAATATTTGCTGATGATTCCCATTCTTGAACTGGTCATTAGAGAAGTTTTAGACATCTTTGCAGGTTGCTTGTCCTGTAAGTTGTTAGAAGAACCATACTTAGGGAACTGGTATGTTATAGCCTAGCCAATTCAAATGATCTATAAATGACATATTGTATTAAAACCACATAAAGTACTTGTCTTTTTTCTCTTGTTAATGTCTAGGCTGGAGAAGTGAGGTGTAACAATTCTCATATGTATGAATTATTTTAAATAAAAATTGTAGTTTGGAACTTTGTAGCTGTTTCCAAGGAAGAAGTTATGTTCTGTGTATCACTATGTTAGAGAAGAAAAAGACAAAAATAATTGGTTTGGATATCCTTATCTTTAGGGGAAAATTAGTTTAGAAGATACATTTTGAATACTATTTAAAGTTTTTATTATGTAACTGCTTTCCTTGTCTTAGTTGTGTATGTGTTGGATGTTAGCATACTTGATGAGCTCTAAGATTGTTATGAATTACGTTTTTAAGAAAATATTTCCTATTCATAAACTAATCTTAACTACTAATTGTCAGTGTTCATTTTTTATCTCTATTTTTTTAAATTTGAGACAGGAAAAGAAACTAATTTAAAAGAAGAAATGTTTCCTTGATTATCTGAAGTGTACATTATCCACATCTGTGACAAACCGTTCAGTTTCTCCCCTTCTCCTTCAGAAAGGAGTTTTTAACATCCAGCTTGTTATGG